TATATATGTTACTATTTTATAAATTACTTAATAAAGATATGAGCAAGACTTCACCTTAAAAAAAAAAAAAAAAAAAACTTTTTTCAATAATTATCTAAACCAAATTGGTACCGAAAGTAGATTGAAGACTCTGGCTTCAAAGTGAATAATATTTTTAGTTTTATATTAAGTAAACTTGCTGTTGACAAAACTCAAGTATATAATATAATCAATTGAAAAAAAACTCTTTCTGCAAATCCATTATACAAAAAAATAACTAAAAAATTTGTTCATATAAAAACACTTATAAGTATTTATTTTACTAAGACAACCTGTTCTAGTATCTTAAGTAACTTATTTAGCTCAGAATTTTATATATATTCTGCAAATATTATATTTCTGGCTTTTAAACTTATTGAATAAACTGTACAGACAGCCTTTGGCCTAAGTTTTAACAATTAATTTCTTTTCGCAGTTTCTACTATAATAATATATCTTTTACTCTTAATTAAAATTGTAATACATACTTGCCTGGTCAAAACAAGCTCTAAATGAAAAATTTTGACCTAATATTAGCCAATTTACAACAAAATTTCTCTTTTACTCTCTTGTAAAACTTTTTCTTTCTTCTATTTTTGTTCCTACCTGCCTCTTTTTTCCCTTACACATTTTTCATGTAACCATAATATCATTTCCCAATTTATACTTTATTAATTTATACAAAAATTTTTTATAACCTATCTATAAATAGAAATTCATTCAACATAACTTAATTATTTCTATATTTGATTCTTATTAATAATATACAACAATCTGTATTGCAAATTTTATTTGTGTATAGTACCTGAGTCACATCAGTAACCCCAACTATTTTAGTTACACCCTGTACTATTCCAGTGACTTCTCAACTATACAACCCCTGTTTTTAATTACTATCCATGTAATTTAATTATTTGATTTCAATTTTAACTTAAAAAAATTTCTAAGTTATTACTATATTACCTAACTACTCATTTATATCCCAAAAATACCTACATTAACCAACCAAGAGCTGGATATAGTAGATCTTGACTACTTCTACTAAAACTTTTTTAACAATTTTGAAATTACCCTCTATGAAGAAGAAAGTAGCAACAATACTTGTCCAATTCCTCCTAAAGTCAAACCCACTACTTGTTTAACTAAAAATCTTAGATCCAACAAAATTACTTATTTCTTTCAAGCTTCTTCTTTTACTTCTGTAATTACTTGTCTCTATGACAAATATTACATCAAATTTATCTCACCTACCAATACTAATCATATTCAAGCTACTGAACTTACTACAGTTCATGTTAATAGCAACTTAAAGAAAAATCTAAACAGATCAACTTAACAACTTATAACCAATCTCTCTTCTTCAACTGATACTGTTTCTCTATCTTCTACACCTGATATTTACTATCATATCTGTCCTAAATGCTCTCTTCCAATTTGTTATACTAAAAGAAATAAGTGTTACTATTCTAATAAAAAATACATTACAAAGAATAATAAAGTTACTATCTTGTTTATATGTCTGCTTCATCTCAATATGAAGCTAGCTCATCTCAGACCAAAAAAAATCTAACACAAACTTTCCAAAATATTCTAAATAAAACTTCTTAAACTACTAACTTTTTCATTTCCTCTTTTTACCAAAACTCTTAAACTGCTTCTAATCTTATTGATTTTTTCTTCTTTATAGCTACTAACACTAATCCTATTTTTAATCAACTTTCAATTCTTACTATTCTTGATAACTCTAACCCAAATTCTACCAATCCAACAATTCTATCCAATCTAACAACACTTCAAACAAACTTTCTTCTCAATTCTATTCTAGTATCACCAAACCAAAATCTAATTCCACATATAACTGGGTTGCAAATTTTCCTATTACTAAAGAAATGCAACCTAATAAAAAACTACAAATACTATTCTCTCTTCAACTTTTTATTTTTCTCAAAAAATTCCTCTATAATTTTTATTCTGGTAAGGAAATCAAGTCAGCTACTGCTATCTAACCTGCACTTAAAGCTTCATTTTACTATATCATCCATATAATAACTGAGCAATGGCCCAAATTCTTAACTGATCTCATTTATAATAATAATTCTAACATTGACAAAAGCACTACTATTTCTTTTGATCTTCTTGAATCTATTTTTAAAAATCTTATTCTCAAATTCACAGCTATTTTTTTTACTAAACTTAATTATCTTAAAATTTTTGTCTTATTAGTTACTGTTCCTTTATATACTGCCCACAACCATCTTCAATTTTGTCTTAATCTTGCACAACTTCATCTTTTCTTATCTAATAATTACTAATTAATCAATTATCAAAAATTTACTGAAGACTTAAAGTTTAGAACTAAAAGATTCAAAATTGAATCTTTTACTCAAACTACTGATCTATAAAAAAAATATCACACATATCAATTTGATGCTAAATTTAATATTAAATTTCTTTTCAATGTTCCTAAAACATTTTCCTTAAGAGATATTGTATTCTCTTACTTAAAAACTCTCTTGATCATTTTAATTCCTGCTTTGAAACTTACTTTCTATCTTATAGTTAGAGGGTGGAATCAGTGAATAATTATTCGAACATCGATCGAAAATTTCGAACATCGAAATAAATTACATTCATTGAGTTTTAAACTCATTCAATCATCGAGCATCAGTCAAAATTAAAATTAACTATATGTTTTTAATAGTAATGAATTTTTTGATTGATTACAAAATAACAATTTACCTTTTTTTGGCCGATTTGAAATATTTTGACCAATTTGGGTTAGATTAACCTGAGCCTGAACGAAATTTCTCTCTTTAACGTACATACGTAGATGATCGAATTGCATGATTAATGGTAATATGGTATAATAGCATAATTAATTAATTGATTGATTTATCAATAAGAAAGTATAAGTAAAGAGTGAGAGAGTTAATGAAAAATTAATGATGTAAATGATGTAATTAATTTGTAATATAAAGGCAATGAAATAAATAATAAAATTTTAGTCTTTTCACTTGAATATTTATAATACACAAAAAACATAAACCTGTGGATCATTGCATATCTGTGTTTGACTTGCAGTAAAGACCTACTATTGTTTATTCGCGACATCTTGTTAAAACATAGAATTTGATTTAATACTGAATAAGGACATCGCACCTTCTGTTGATACTCCCATAAAGTTCTCTTTGAATAATGAAGAGGATGAATTTAATTACATTGATATTTCAGCTTGTGAAGAACCAAAATCGAGTATAGAGAAGGTTGTTACTAATAGCTCTAAAAAAACAGAAATTAAAAGACGTAGTGGGTCTAAAAAACAATGCCGGGTTTGGCAACATATGGATTTGATTGTAGTAACTAATAAAGATGGCAAAGAGGCCCAATATGGTGAATGCCAGATTATAAAAGATGATAATACACGATGTGCTCAAAGAATTAAAGTTGTAGGTGGATCAACTTCAAACCTTATTCGTCATCTTTATTCAATACATGGAATCTTGGTAATATTTTGCAGATTAATGTAATTTGTTTAAATATTATATTTTACAATCCTTTGATTTATACATTTTTATTAGGATAGTCAAATTAATATTGCTAAAACTCATCCAAAAGCAAAAAACCATTTCTTTGTTCGATCTTTATTAAAACTTCTCATCCGTAAAAATTTACCATTAAATCTTGTATTAAAGAAATCATTTCACGAATTTGTTCATAATCTGGATTCTGCATTTGCAATACCATGTGAAAAAACTGTAAAGCATCTTATCCATATTACTTATAACAATTCAACAAACTTATTAAAACAACAATTAGAAACAACCAGTAAAACTGTATGTTTGATGTTGGATTTATGAACAGCAAGAAATCGACAAGGATTTCTAGGAATCATGTGCTTATGGATAGATGAAAATTTTAAAATACATGAAGCTCTTCTTACATTGACTTATTTAAAATATCCACATACAGCAATTAATATAAATAATGCTATCAATAATCAAATTGAATATTGGGGATTAATGGACAAAGTTTTTACGATTACATCAGATAATGGGGCAAATGTAAAAGCAGTGATAAATCAAATAGGAGTTAGTAGAATGCCCTGTATAGCACATACACTTCAACTTGTAATTGGCAAGGGTCTTTTACTAGCTGAAGTGTTTGTAGCTCGTGCAAAATGATTGATAAATTTTTTTATGAGTCCTAAACAAAATGAAAGGTTGGAGAATGCACAAAAAAGCTTGGGAATTTCAAAAACAAATGTAATATTATTTATTTTTTTAAAAATTTTTTTATTTAATTTTTTTTTAATTTAATTTTTTAATTTAATT